CCGTTTCCGATGGCTTTTCTGCGTTTGTTTACTAGGCATGGAGAGAATCTCGCTCGTAGCAGAGCATGGTCCGTGTCTACGGGTGTTGACCAGTAGGAGCGGCAGTCTTTAATGGATCCTCTCCAGCGGTGGCTGTGCGAGAAGTTCGTGCTTGACAGAAACAGTCCGTGGTCAGCACAAAGTTGGAGTAGGCGTTCTCCGTTGTCAGTCCTGTTGGTTGGGATTGCATGCGAACCGCCAAGTAACCTCTCTGATTCGTCCAGGAATCCCACTTGAGCATTGAAGTCTCCAGCGACCGCCACGATTTCCATTGAACGAGCGCTTTGGAGCGGTAGAGAGAGGTCCTTGTAGAGTTCATCCTTTACTTCTGACGAACTGCAATCCGTCGGTGCATACGCGGATACGACGAATAAACACCGACGCTTCGTTCTGTAGCTGTTGACGCGTACTGAACCATCCAGACGTAAGGCGCGAAGTCGGCTGTTAACCGGGATCCAATCGAGAAGTGAACGCTCGACCTTGACACTTAGCGCAATCCCAACGCCAGCAGCACCGCGAGCTTCGGACGCCGAGAGTGAAGCTTGAGGATGAGGCCGGATCTGGAGAACGGAGGGAGATGACTGAAGTAGGATCTTGTATGCGTGTTTCGGAGACACAGCATACACCTAAATGAAAGGTTTCAAGGGTTCTGGCTAAGGCGGCTTGTTGACCGATCTGGTAGAGTGTGCGGGCATTAAATGCGGCTAATTGGAAAGGAGATTTTGGTTTCAAAGAACTGATAGGCTTTGAGTGAACGACTAAAAATGTATCCGCGGGATGCATACAGCCTATCCTGATGTGACCTGAAGCCATTAATTAGCCAATGAAGTTTTGATAACCAGTGATTTGGTAATGCAGCCAGTCGAACTTATAACTTCATGGTAGTCACTGCTATTGGTTTATAAGCCATAAAATAGACCGGATTATGGGAGGCCAATATCAAACGAGACGTAATTTAGGAGAATAAATACACAATTGAGAGAATTGCAAACTATTGAATGGTAGTATCTTACGATGAGAATAGACAGTCGTCAGCATCCTAAAACCAGCACAGTAAAAGACTTTAGTGAAGAATGAAATTCCGTTTTCAAGTTGAGTAAGCAAATGGACGTCAGGAGAAGCGAATAATCTAGAATGTTAACTGGCAAAGCCACCAATTCACGCTTTTAAACTGAAATCAGCGGTAAACCGCGCTAATAAAGCAGAGCGATTGGTTTGTAATCCGATAAAATGTGTACAAAAGCAAGAGATGTTGCGACTTACAGCCTCTCTGGCTATCCCCCCATCTGGATATTTCTGTATAGAACGCAGGAGGTTTGCGAGCTCCGGAATCATTGGGGCATGAGCGGGTTGGTGCATTGCATTGGTAGATGCGCCCATAGAATAAGACTCCGAAGGTTGTGAACCACGTTTTTGCTGTAATCCTGGCTGTTGTACAATTTGAGAAGGTAGCTGCTGGAGCGCGCCCGAGGCAGAAGTTGAGGAACCCAAAGTGGCTGCGTGACCCGTGTTTGCTGGATCAGTACTCACTACCATTCCGTTTCCAGTGGCCAGAGGCTGAACAGATGGAATCTGGGAGGGTCGCGCGGCAACGGGCACGGCAGGAGCAGGTTGAGATGCAATGGTTCTGACAGGTTCCACCGGTATACTACCTGCCCAATCCACATTAGCACCTGACGAAGCAAGCAGACGACCAAGCAGAACCGGTAATGAACTGACACCCGTAGCAGAAGTTGGGGGTGCAGTGGGGCTGACTGTACCGGCGAGAAGAGTTGTTGGCTGAACAGTGGATACGGGTCCGGTTGCCGAAGACGCCTGTTTCAGGTTTGTAGGTATAGGTGGTGAGGCTTGTCTGCTTTGAACAGTCGATCCAACCGTAGAAACACCTCCAGCGACTAATGGAATAGGAGGGGCATTGACAGGAACCGGATGAGTACCTGTGGAAGGCCGTGCAGCCCGAAGTTGGTTAAAAACGGCTGACATCTGAAATAGAAGAAAACACGACCTGGTTAGCAAAACATTTCATGGGTAAATAATTTACAACAATTACTGTTTTTACTTGCGTATAAACCACGTCTAAAACGTATTATACACTGTTTCTAAAAACGACAAATTAACACAAAAAACATCGAGGTGTACGGTGGAACCAAAAGATTTGTTTATACTATTCTCCCTTTTTAAGTTTCGCTTTCCTTTCACTTTGTTCCGTATCCCAAGCCACCCATTCCTTTATTGCTAATGTTGTTATTGTTATGGTGCTGGCACCATGCTAGTCCGCAAGCCGGTTATATGTATGTATGTATGTATATATATATATATATATATATATATATATATATATATATGAGGG